GGAGAGAAGAGCAGAATTGAAATGGTGGAAAATCGGTTCCTTGAATCCCTCCCTTCCCTACTCTCGAGACGACGATACCACGATGTTGTAATTAACAAGAGAGACGTCTAATTTGTACAGTTTTTATCCTTAATCAGCATTCCGGTTGTATAGAGGCTCGTTAATTAACGAAACCTCATCTCGACCCTCGACTGAACGTGGCCGAGCCTCGACCTGGAAATATCATCGTATCTCCGGATGGGAGCGAGGGCAACTAAAGGCAGACCCTGGTGATTAATCAACGCGTCGCTGACTTAATACAATCATCCACCGGTTGTATCCTTCCAGCCATCCTTCCAACCGGCGCTGGAAACGAGAGGCAGGATAATATGCAAATCTTGCCCTCGATGAATCATCGAAGCGGGCCCGTTATCCGTATACCTCCCCTCAAAACTCTCCCCCTTTTTCGAGAAATCGTATATCGACGATGTTGTACTTGCACTTGTTCACTAATGAATTTTGATCCGATTTATTATACACGTATATATTGGAATAAAGGAAATGTAAAGAGATCTTCCATCTGTCTTTGTTCGCGATCAGTTTATACCCATCGCTCCTTTCAACTTTATTTAGATACAATATTACTAATTAAATTTTGATCCGATCGTTTATTATACACGTATATATTGGAATAAAGGAAATGTAAAAAAGATCTTCGATCTGTCTTTGTTCGCGATCAGTTTATACCCATCGCTACTTTCAACTTCATTTACGGTACTACTAATGAATTTTGATTTGATCGTTTGTTATACATATATATGTTGGAATAAAGGAAATGTAAAGAGATCTTCCTTCTGTCTTTGTTCGCGATCCGTTTATATCCATCGCTACTTTCAACTTCATTTACGGTACTACTAATGAATTTTGATTTGATCGTTTATTATACATATATATGTTGGAATAAAGGAAATGTAAAGAGATCTTCCATCTGTCTTTGTTCGCGATCAGTTTATACCCATCGCTCCTTTCAACTTTATTTAGATACAATATTACTAATTAAATTTTGATCCGATCGTTTATTATACACGTATATGTTGGAATAAAGGAAATGTAAAGAGATCTTCTGTCTTTGTTCGCGATCAGTTTATACCCATCGCTACTTTCAACTTCATTTACGGTACTACTAATGAATTTTGATTTGATCGTTTGTTATACATATATATGTTGGAATAAAAGAAATGTAAAAAGATCTTCGATCTGTCTTTGTTCGCGATCCGTTTATACCCATCGCTACTTTCAACTTTATTTAGATACTGGTTAAGAGATGATAAAATTCGAAACACGAAGAGTTTACAAAACGGTTGGGAGATGAGGGGGGGAATCGTTAAAGGGGAGAGGCATTTCGAAAATAAAAAAGAACACCCTTTCCTCCCCTTCTCTTTTCGAGGAAACGAACGAGGATCGAATGTCCGAGAATGGCGAGATCTCTCTCTTTCTCTTTCTCTCTCGGCCAGCGTGGAAAGACTTCCTCTTTCTCCAGGGACAAAGAGCAAGAAGATGACGAGCAACCGTTGAAACACGAGAGGGTGGAACAATCGAGGAAAAGGGGGTTCGGAGTCGATGAGAGGTCTTCGAACCGCGCAAATCTCTCTCTCTCTCTATCTCTCTCTTACTCTTGCATCCTTCGTGCCTCGGATTTCAAAGCGACGAGAGAGAAATGAGGAGGTGGGTGGTGGGTGAAAAAAGGAAGCGGAATCGAAAAGGAAACAATGTCGTCGGCTAGGAGGCGCAGTACTTGAAACGAGAGTATCTTCCTCTCTGTCTCGCTTCCATCTTCCGGCTGATCCACTTCCTCCGGCTTTCCGCTTGTGGACGCGAGATATCAATGCATTTTCGTTCCCCAGATTATTATTATCACTTCAATTTCGTGGCCTCGATCGAGGTTTCACCTTTGTCAATCGTTACCCTTCCTGCGCCACGAATCTCGCGAGAAGAAGAAGATGTATACAAGATGTATTTTTTTGAAGAATATTTTTAATTATTAAGAAAAGTTTCGTGATCCTTCTTTGATCGAATTTTAATGTTCCTTTTCACCATCTTTTCGATTTAGAGATACGATTATTTATCTTTGATATCCTATAAAAAGAAAAAAATATCACGATGTTGAAGAATTGACGAGGAATACAATTTGGAACAAAGTGCGTTTCAAGTACGAAAATATCGATCTTATCTCATCGATACACGATAAAACGTAGTCGTAATTAAAGGATTATCTATTTCAATCTGAATGTGAATTGTCAACAATGTACAAGCATCTTGGAGAAACTTGGTACTATTCTACGGACGATTAATTCTCTGTCGGCAATTGGACCTCGGAGCTCTCGTTGAACAGTGACGAGCGAATAATTCGATCAAGTAATTCGGTATAATTGGGGCCACGAGCCAAGTTTGCAACGAACGCGATAATAAGAAAGCTTGGACAGGATGGAATTAGCAGCTTCGAATTAATCTCCTTGTCGATCGAGGAATTTTGTTATCTCTTTCTGAGACAATCAGGGACAATTTTAAACCAAATCGAGAGGAACGATTTGTAATTTTTCTTTTTTTCGTGAGTTAATAATAATAAATCTTTGTAAAAATCGTAAAAATTTCTTTAATGGGATGAACACGATTCTCTTTGTTAATTACGACGAAATTACGAAATAAACGTCTCTCTTTGTTCGATAAAAAAAATTAGACAGATTTACACAATTTATAGGATGGACGCTGCTCGAAAAATCTGTTCCCCTTTATGATACTATTTTTCCACCACTTATAAGCTGTAGCCAACGATTCGTGTCTGAAAATAAATGAATATCATTTCTGGCCAAACAGCGAATGGCGAACAGTTAATGGCCACGGTACGCTATTTATGGGTTTACATTTGCAACGCGTCCACACCGTTTATTGCGTTTTTATGGAAAGCATCGTTTGTAAAGTGTCCTGTACATCTTTTACTTGAACGGTTGCACCAAGAACACGATTTTCACAAACGTTGTAAGTAACGATTCCCATCATCCTTGGGAATCGAAAAATTAAAAAAAAAAAAAAAAAAAAAACTTCCAATTCTAATTACCACTGAAAAGTAACGTTGTTCGATCACAACACGATCACTTTCACGAAAATCAAATTCACAAATATCCTCGCATCGAACGCGACAAGAACCAGAACTTCTTCGTATTCCATTCCCAAAACTTTGAAAAAAGGATAAATTCTTCTCTTCCAAGCCAATTAAATTCCTCCTTAAGTTCCCGTTTCCCGGGGCGAATCGAATTAGATTGATCGGTTGAATTAAGAATTTGCCCGGCGAGCAAAACAAAATCTCCTCTTTCGAAAATCGAGACGACGATCGTCTCGTTTCGAGGAGGGGTGAAAAGCAAAAGGACAAAAGAGGGGATGAAAAAGGCGCGTGTAACGGCAATTAGCAGATTAAAGTCAAGACGAGGGTGTTGTATCTGGTGGTTGGTCTCTCGAGTTGGAAGGGGAGGAGGGGAGGAGGCATCGATACGTGGCGGCGAAACGAGCATCCCCTTTCATCCGGGGACGGGGATGCCGGAAGAAGAGGAGGGAAAAAAGAAACATCGTCGTGTATCCCCGTCGTGAAAAGGAAGAGGGCGGATTTTTTTCCAATCCCTCGCCGTCTTTTTCGCATTCTAATAAAGGAAAGGGTGAGGGACAAAGCCAGGCTGGCAATTAGCAGATTGGAATCAACCAAGTTTCGGGGGGAAATAAGAAAAGTTCAGGGAAAATTTTCATTCAACGATGAGATCATTCGAACGAATCGGAGATGTATGGATAATTGAATGATCGAGGCTTACATATCCTCGTTCGAGGAAAGAATTTGCATAAGATGTTATTCTTTTTGAAGGAAAATTTATTGACAAAGATAAGATATCCAAAATTGTCCTTCGTAGAGATTGTGTTTCGTCGATATAATTTATCACACGGAGTTTCGAAAATAGATCGATATTGTCAATTACTTGGAGAGGTTATATAGAAAACGCTAGAAGAAAATTCGTCTCTGTTGCACCATAAATAGATTCATCTTATGAAATTTCTCGAATACTAGCTCCGTAGAGCAGAAAAAGAAAGACGTTGATCTTATTAATTTGAAGGGATGCGATGCATCAACGACAATTGCATCAACTTATTATTTTAATAAAACCCTCCCCCTTCTTCCAAAAAAGAAAAGAAGGAATCGAAAAGAGAGAGAGAGGACCACCTCCTTCCATCGATTTAACCTAATCACCGAACAAATTCACGACGACGTGAACGTCGGCCGACGCGAGATATCGAATTAATTCCTCGAGAATTAATACCCGTCAAACTGTCCAACCGACGAAACTGAGAAAAATGATGATCCGAGAGGAGAAAAAAGGAAAAGAATCCCTTCGAAAATCGTCACACAAAATCCATACTTTTAAACGATCGCTCGTCCATTTTAAAAATTGTAAAAATTCGCGTTCGATCAACTCGAAATGCTCGATCTCGATCATCTCTTCGGAGGAGGGATGTCTCGAGTCGGTTACCCTCGAAAAGTCTTCTCTGCCAACCTTCTTCTCCTTCTCCGTTGGATCTTTAAGCAGCTCGTTAAGAGAGATATAAACAAATTCGAGATATCCCGAGGTTCGAGGAAAATGGGATTTATTTATCGAAAGGGTTGGGAATAGAATAAATTCGAGTGAGAAACTCGTCTCGAAGGTGAAATTGAGGGAGCCACTTATGGACATTAAACTCGAAATCCAAACTTCATTCTCTTCGGATTGGAGGGGAGGGAGGGAAATGAGGATTATCACGACGTTAAACTACCTACTACTTCTAATAAGGTTATCCTGCCCTCGGTTTCCGGTATCGCAGAGTCGATTTCCCTCCTCGGACGTTTAAATCCCCACTTATTGCGTAACACGTTCGACAAACTCGTCGAATCACTTCATCGCCTCGACTTCTCGTCGCCCTTCCCTCCCCCTCCCCGAGCAACTTACCCCCCACTATCAGCAGCAGGTGGAACAGAGCACGTCGCACTTTCCCGCACTTCCGTCGAACGTCTTTATCCATGGCTCCAAGGATCCCCAAGGTCGAGAACGATCCTTCCCCGGCGATCATCCGGGCGGCGCGATGGTCCTCACCTTCCTCGGCGGTCACAACGTGGCGGCGAAGGTCAAGGGGCCGGTGCCGCGTGCGACATCTGACCCCCCCTTGCGTGGTGTTAATCGGCTGGTTCCAGGGTTCTCCACCCCGAATGTACAACAGTTGTGTCCCGCGGAAGAGAGATATCCTTCACAAAAGAGGGGGGCACAAAGGGGGAGAGAGAAAAAAAAAAAAAGAAAGGGAGAGAGAGAGACACAGACAGAGAAGCAGGCAAATCCTCCGGAGCTGGGGGGGAGGGGACGCGCGCGCGCTCCCGTAACGTCGCGTTCTAACGCCGCGTTCGCAACGCCACGCGGACGCGACAGTTCCTCACTTGCAACTGACGAGGGATGCTGCACGAAGAGTTTGCGCCAGCCTCGCGCCCGCGCACAGAATCCTTACTCCCCTGCGCGCTCCTGGCACCCTCGGTCAGTTAGTCACCCTTCTTCTCTCTCTCTCTCTCGTTTACATGGAAGGAAGACGGGGCTCTCCCTTCTCTTCGGTTTCTTCTTCCATCGCTCGTCCGTCTTGCTACTCGCGCTATTCGCCCTCCTCGTCGCCCTCGATAACAACACGCGGCGCTTCGTGTACAATTCTCTCTCTCTCTCTCTCTCTTTCGTTCCTTCGATCGTGTTTCCCTCTTGCTTGACCGAGTTCCCTCTGTTTCCTCGAGACTCTTCCTCGACACGAAGGAGGGAGAGGGGGAGGTTCGTCTCTTCTCGGTTCGTTTTCACCCCTCTTTTCCGCCGCGGTTCCTTAGTTAGTCGATCCCCTACCCCCCTTTCGCCGGCTGTATATCTCAAACACTAAAGAGTTTCTTAGGAAATTGAATTGAATCCACCACCCATCCCGCTTGTTATTTCTCTTCTTGTCCTACCGCCTCCCCCTCCCCCAGTCGGCTCGTTGTTCGCCCGTGTCCTCTCGACTTCCCCTCCCCGACTCTTCTTCCGTCTTCGTCCTCTCTGTCGGTCACGTGCCTCCCGGCGACTTACCCTCCCTTACTACCACTCTCGTCCAACCGCAGTTTGGGGTAGTTTCGTTTCCCTTTAACCGAAGGCATCGTCACCTTCGCGCCCATCAAGGCTTCCCCCGATTGTCTGCCCGTTAAAGCGGCAATTTATATGTTAACAGGGCGGTCGAATCGGTCGAGAGTCATGCATACGTTTAAGGAAACGGCGGGGGGTGTTGCGCGAGTGTCGATTCCCGATTTTTGATAGATCGATTTGAAACGATTCCTGTTCTGCTCGATTCGATTTGTGAAATTTTTCTACATTGGGGATAATATTTGGAATAGTTGAATAGTTGAGCGATTTAATTGAAAATTGTTATATATATATTTTTTTTTTTGACAATTGAGAACGAGGGTGTACGATACAATCGTATGTGACAAAAATTTATTCGCATTAATTAGGTTGAAGACGAGGTTGATCGATCAAAGATATGCAAATGTGCTAGATTTGAAAAAAAAAAAAAAAAAAGAAATCGCGTTTAAATAATCTTCGATCGGAATAAGCTGATCTTCTCGTTGATCTACTGATTCATTCAACCAAATTCGCTTAATGTAAACGCGGCTTTAGTCGGGTTCGACGATCAAACTGTCTGCCCGATATCGATCTATCCCCGTAAGCCCCTCTTGCATCCCTTTTGGGATGTTATCGGTTACATGGAAATTCGGGCAAATAGTTGTAAGGAAAGAGATTCGAGAGAGGTCAAATTTTTTTTTTTCTAAGGTGATTTTCTTAAATTGTGGAACGATTCCCCTTTAGGAATTGATGGGAAAATTTAGTAGAATTTTGTACCTTATCGATCAAGATTTTCGATTTTATTAATCTTCGATAAATTAACCCTTTCTTACGTTTCCTAATAAGAGAAAGAAATTTTCTTTTCTTTTTTTTTTGGACTTATTTAACGATCTAACAACCGACAAAAATTTAATGCAATGTATAAATTTACAAATCGAATATATCGTTTCACGTTGATCGAAATATTCTGATCTCTAAAAACGATTTATTGAAGAAAAATGTTTAACAACTATTATAATTAAACTATTACGTATATACTGTGCATCATCGAGCACAGAGTGAAAAGATTAAATATGCAGTTTTTCGCGTACGCGATACAACAATATTTTGCGATATTTTTCGAACGAGATGCACGCGTGACACGGAGGATAAAATACGAATATTAAAATGAATATTGAATATAAAAAAAAAATTTTACCAATCACGATATTTCATTTCTCACGCTGACAATTTTACAAAAAATATATAAATAATATAATCTTGGAGACACGTTCTTTCCTTCCTTCGTTAAAAGAAAGAAAGAAATAGAAGAATTCGAGAATCGAGAATTTCGTTCTATACGAGCAATACGAGCGGAAGTGAAATTACAGGGCGTGTTGCAAGCCGTGTAGCAAACCGTGGCGCGACACGCTCGTGGATCAAAGCCGAATCGGCGCGAGAAGGCCAAATAGACGCGGAGCATTAGCAGCGCGTCTCCACTGTTCAAATCAAACCTTGACACGTGTCCTCGGCTCATAGATTTCCTGGTTACATCGTCCTCCATCTTATCGAATTGCGTCGCACGTGTGAGTATATGTGTGTATACGCGTGTATTAAAAATTATTATCCCTTTGAAAAATTCTTTCCTCCTATAATAAATAATAAATAATAAATAAATTTGGTTATCGATGCTGTGCGATAGTTGCTTTACGCTTAATAATATAAAGTTTCTGGTTACGGTTTAGTTGGAGAGTAACGAGTTTTTGGAAGCGGAGGCTTAGTTTGGAACGGTATTGCGGTTGATAGAATTCAATATTGTTAAAACTTTGTTTAATGAGAGCACAATAGATGCGTAGGTTGGTTGATAGGTTAATTTGAGAATGATAGAAAATTGGATCCCTTTTTAAGTTAATTACTTCGTCTTCTAATTGTCAAATATAAATGTTGGTTAATAATTTCTTGATGTTCTTTTTTTCTTTTTGATAAAGTAATCAATTATTTTTATGAAAAAAAAATATGAAGCAATTGAAAAATATTCTTTCTTTCTAACTTTCTTAACTTGGAAAGCTAAAGTATCTTCTAATCGTTCATCATCATCATTAACCATCCTCTAATTATCAAAACCAGGAACCAATTTACTAATCATTTTCCATCTCGAAACGAGGTATTTACAATAAAACGTAACAGGCCCTTCCGATACCCCGTGCAAAGCTAATTAGCTTGATAACAGGGTGTTCGCGTGGAAGGGTAGCAAGAATCGAAGAGGGAGGAGGAGGAAAAGGAGGATCGCCGTAACAGACTCTCGAATTACGCTTATAATCGGCGAATGCTGGCTCGAATCGAGTCTCAAGCATTAACCCCACGATGGCTTAATAATCCTCGACTTTTAACTACTCGCCTTTCCTCAATTTCCAATGCCCGAATTTTCGCAAAGATTTTTCTTGGCTCTACTATTGATCAAAGTTTCACACAAGTAGATTGCACACTTTTCTGAAGAATTTATTTATTCTTTATACTCAAACACAGCATGTTTCTCAATATTACGTCTTCTAAAATTTTCGAGATCCGATAAAGAATCTATTTGATTATAAGATAGGAAATAAATTGGACACGTTGTGAAAGTATCTTAAAATGAAAATTATCCTATATAAATATACGTTATCCTACATTATAAATGATACAAAAAGATTGCAATATTTATAATAATACTTATATTATATTATTATAAATATAATGTTATCCTACATTATAAATTATAAATGAGAAAGATTCCAAAATATTATTGTGAATATTCACTCAACTATTGCTCCAAAAAATTTTTTATAACTAAATGAACAAAAAAAAGTGATTTACTATCCATGAAAAAGAAATTAGAATATTAGAAATAATTGAGAAGTGGAGGAAAGTGATAAATGATACAAAAAGATTGCAATATTTATAATAATACTTATATTATATTATTATAAATATAATGTTATCCTACATTATAAATTATAAATGAGAAAGATTCCAAAATATTATTGTGAATATTCACTCAACTATTGCGCCAAAAAATTTTTCATGACTAAATGAACAAAAAAAAGTGATTTATTATCCATGAAAAAGAAATTAGAATATTAGAAATAATGGAGAAGTGGAGGAAAGTGAGGAAGACCTGTATCATCATCTTCCATTCGATTCGATTCGACTCGCAATATGAAATTTAGAAATTTGAGATCATGGACCCGGATGATAAAAAAGAAAAAAAGAAAAGGAAAAAAGATCGTCTAGAATAATATGGAAGGGAATAGATGGAAGGATTATCAAGACCACGAGAAGCATTAGCCCCGCGTGCAGAATGGAGCCGTGGTGGAAAGGGTTCGGTGAAACGCAATTTAATGCAATTTCTCGTTTAGTCAGAACTTTTAAAGTTGTTAGCGGCAAGTTGAGTGGCCCTTTCTCGTTTCCGTGATGTACGCACACGCGTTCCCTGTGTGCAACCTCGCGTACCGCTCTATTGTTCCCCACGTTCGAGGTTAAACTTTCCGAGGTTTAATTCGAACAGCGTGCGATTTTCTTTTCTCGATTCGACTTCTTTTTCCTTTTTTCTTTTTTTTTTTTTTTTTTTTTTACGAAATATAACATCGAGGAATCTACTTACTAAGCGCATGATCAATATTTGAAAATTACAATATTAATTGAGTCATAGTTCGAGCTAATTTTAAAATTGCGCGATGTGTTTGAAAATATATCTTTTAATTTTTTAAATTTTGTATACTAATTTTGTAGCGTATTACACGTTTTTCGTTAAAATATCCATCAAGAAATGCATCTATCTGTTGCGAATAATTGATGAAAAAAAGAGTGCAGTTTTAAAGGATTAAACTAAAAATAAGCTGATGATGGAAAAATGGACGAAATCTTGTTACTTGTGAAAAATTTTGATTGGATTGAAACTATTCGTTTCTCGGCAAGATGAAAATGGAATTTCATTACAACAAATTGAATCGAATTCGAATATATTGTAATACGTTTTTATATCGAATATAATAATAAATGGTTTCCG